CAGACATGTTGACTTACTCAGTGCTGCCATAATGAAATACCACAAATTGGTAGCTTTAAAGAACAGAAATTTATTTTGTCACAGTTCAAGAAGCTAGAAGTCTGAATTTAGGGTGTGGCTCTAGGGGTAGGCCCTTCCTTTTTGGCAGACATGGGAGTTCCTTGACAATTCTTGGTGTCTGTCTTTCCTTTGTGAGTATCTCTGTGTATATTCTGCTCATTTACAATTAAGAAGTAATTATGTTTATGACCCACCCTACCTGGTTATGACCTAATTAACATAACAAAGAAAACCCTATTTCCAAACAGAATCATATCCAAGAGTCTAGGAACCAGGACTTCAATACAGGTTTTGGGGGGACACAATTCAAGCCATAAAACATCTTATGTGTAAGGTGCCTGTGAAACATCCTGAGCTTTGAGAATCTTCTGTTTAGAGCTAAGAGGGAGGGAAAGCCGGAAGGAGACTAAAGGAAAAAATCCAGTGAGTGACGGAGTGATGGGTGAAAACCAGGAGAGTGAAATGTCTCATAGGAAAAAAAAAAAAAGGAGCGTTTTAAGGAGACTATACCGATCATTTGTTTATTTGCACCTGACCCAAGCCACGGTATTTTCAGTCACCTCATATGCATGCAGAAGCTGGACAATGAAAAAGAAAGACAGAAAAAGAATCAGTGCATTCAAAGAATACTGAATATACTGTGGACTTCCAGAAGAACAAATACATCAGTCTTGGAAGAAATACAACCAGACTGTGACTTAGAAGCAAGGATGGCAAGACTTTGGTTTGTTTACTTTGGACATGTCATCAGGAAAGACCAGTCCTTAGAACAAGACATCTTGTTTGTTAAAGGAGACCGTCAGCAAAAATGAGAGAAACCTTCAATAAAATGGGTTGACACAATAGCTACAACAATCATGAAGATGGCACACACTCAGGCAATGTTTCGTTCCGTTATACATATGGTAGCTGAGTCGGAGCCGAATTGATAATGGCAACTGATCACAACATACTGGTCAATTGAATCAACTGTTACTGTAAGGTTGATTAATGTAAGGAGAGAGACCTTGCTCCATCAATAGTCTTATCACTGATTTTTTTTTTTTTTTCCAACTCTCCACTCTATTGGCAACTTTCTTAAAACCTATAAATATGCTTCTGTCACTTCCTACTCAAGAGAGTGAGGGGGAACTGGGATGAAAACTATGCTCCACATCCCACCTAGCTACCCGCCTCTCTCTCTCCTTCCAGATTTCCTCCAGAATAGTCTAGTATAGGAATCTCCACTCCCTCACCTACCTTTTACTCTCTAATTCTTTGCTCTCTAGCTCTACCTAGTCTGTCCTTGGGAAATGTTACTCTCATCACTTCTAGTCTTTGAAATTAACCACCAGAGATGCTGAGAATTAGAGTCTCACATTAGAGGTTTTTTGCTTCTTGAAGAAAATTTCAGAGTTTGAAAGTTTGTCAAGTATCAGTCCTTCAATTTTTAGAATTCTTGGCAATTATGCAAGTAAATAATACATTCTTTTCTTTATGGCTCGGAAATACCTCAATTCATATTCTTCCCTGTTTTTGTCTAATTATTTTTCTTTTTATAATTGAGTTTCAATATTGTAATGTGTAATTTGGTATTATCAATTAACATTTTCATGGGCTTCAGTATAAATTCCAAAATCTCAAAGAAACTTCAAACGTAGTGAATAAAAATGTATTTCCCTACTTTAATGACTCTGTAAACTCAAAGTAAACTTATTTTTTGTTGAGGGGTGGGTGTGCATCCACCCATTCAAAGAAATGATAGATGTGTCATCTCTCAAAAAAAGAAAATTTCTTACTTTTACTTATTTAAGCCCTTATGGTAGGATGAATAAATGCCCACCCACCAAGGAGATAGTCACTTACTAATCCCCAGAAACTGTGAATATTACTTTGCTTGGTAAAAGAGTGGATATTAACTTATAGAGCAAAAGATGTGATTAAGTTAAAGGTCTTAAAGAGAGTTTAATCTGAATTATCCATGTAGGCCCTAAATGCATTACATGTATGCTTTATAGGAGACAGGTGGAGGGAGTTTTCAACAGAACCAGACACAGAAGGGAAGATGATGTGAAGATACAGGTAGAGATTGGAGTGATGCAGTCACAAGTCAAAGAATGCTGGCAAAAGCTGAAAGAGACAAGGAACAGATTCTCCCCTAGGGCCTCCCGAGAGGGTGCAGCCCTGCCAACACCCTGATTTTGGACTTGTGCCTCTGGAACTGTGAGAGAATAAGTTTCTATTGTTTTAAGCCACCAAGTTTGTGGTAATTTCTTGTAGCATCTACAGGAAACTGAAACGGCCCTTAAGTGAAGTAAAGACTATCACATAGTATTCATATATGCCAATTCATGGATCCTTTGTGTGAAATCAAATTAGTTGAGGCAGCCTGCTATTTTATGTTAACATAATGTGCCTGATCACAAGCTCAATAAATGCGTTATTTTGATTTATGTCATTTTAAGATCCAGGTCATTATTCTAGCAGCCCTCAATTTTTTTTTTTTTTTTAAGACTAGGTTTTATTTTGTAAGATACAGATTCTCAGGTACTGATCTCTTGAGTTGATTTTCTGGGGCTAGAGATTCGGTATGTGTGTTTTTCTAAGTCTCATAGGTTATTTAGATGACCAATCATTTTAAGGAACCACTGAAATTACAAACCATAGCTTCATTTGCCTACCAATTGTTAAGTAAAGTGTGCAATAGTTAAGCTGTTGGCTGCTATCTGAAAGGTCATCAACCCTTCAGCGACTCCACAGTAGAAGGAGGTAGTGATCTGCTTCCGTAAGGATTACAGCCTAGAAAACCCTATGGGGCAGTTCTACTCTGTCACATGGAGTCGATATGAGTTGGAATCGACTCAACGATGCCTAATAACAAATTTGTCAGATACGTACTAGGTAAATTTTACTTAATTTTTTTGCATTTAATCTTACAAGTAGATTTTTAATCTCTGCTTTGTAGTTGGTAAATTGAGGTTCAAAGAAGATACACAATTTCTTCAGGCCAGTAATTGACGGAACTGAGATTTGACCACATACTATCTAATTCCAAAACCAATGCTCTTAGTGCAGAAAAACCAGGATAGTGCAGTGGAATAAGAACTGTAGTTGTTCACATTCCATGTATACCCTTTCTAGATGAATGATGTTGAGTAAGTCATTCAACTCCTCTAGCTACAGTTTAAAGGAGCCCTGGTGGCACAGTAGTTAAGTATTTGGCTGCTAACCCAAAGGTCTGTGGTTCAAACCCACCAGCTGCTCCACAGAAGAAAGATGTGGTAGTCTGTTTCCATAAAAATTTACCGTATTTTTACACAAATAATATGCATCTTCTACATTTGTTTGCCAACTGTGCCCTCCCCCTGAGAGGTATTTTCATAAATGTGCTATGCTAATTTTTTAAGGTGGAAGGGCATGATTGGCAAATAAACATAAAAGTCATGCGTTGTTTGCGTAAAGATACAGTACAGCCTTGGAAACTCTATGGGACCATTTCACTCTATCCTATAGGGTCACTATGAGTTGGAATCAACTCAATGGCAATGAGTTTGTTTTTTTGGTTAGCTAAAGTTTTCTCTATTTGAAGAGAATAAATTATCATACCTCAAGCAGTTGTTATGAAGATTAAATTAAATTATGTAGATTCTAGTACTTTGCCAACTGTAAAATGCCATGTAAATGTGGTCTTGTAGTTTTTACTCTTATTTCTCATTTATGGACTAAGCAAAGTGTAGCTGTGTTATTTGTCAGAAGCATTGGCTCCCACAAAATGCTTCATCTGCTGCCAGTCGCTATTATTATTGTGGAATTAATTCTTCCTGAATGGTTACCTCTGGAACCACCCTGGACCATGGTTCAAGTCCCAACTTTGCCATTTATTAACAGTATAATCAGAAACTAGTTTCTGTATGATTTTGATTACTCATCTAGGCAAAGGAAATAATGATGCTGGTGGTTTGAGGATTAAATTGAAATAATGCAGGATGCTCATAACATTTATTTATGATAATCATCATTAATTGTTACATTACAAACAGTAGTCGTGTTAGGATGATGGAATATCCTCTTTGTGAGGTTCCACTGGGCACTGCCCTGTAGAGAGTGAGAGAGGTAGGAGATGGAGGCAGGTGTACCAGAGTAAGACAGTATGAACTGCAGGGCATGGAAAAAACCCAAGACCAAGAGCAACCCATCTGAATACCAACTCACACTGTAGCCCTGTTCTCCTTCTATGCCAGCAAAATGTTTTCAACTGTGGCTCCTCTGTAGCAGAAAGCATCTCAGCAAGAAATCTCCAGATAGACAGGGAGGCTGAAGACAGTGTAATTATTCAGCACATTTATAGTGTACCATAAATACATCCACATGCAGAGTAGAAAAGAGAATATATCCTTTGATGCTCAGAACATGGCCAGTTGGAAGGGCAATCATGAACTTCTTTACAGCATTAAATAAACCAGAATATTCCCTTGTGATGTATAATTTAATGACAATAGCTACCATTTAATGGATTCCTGTGCTAGGCACTATGCTAGATGTGTTATGTGCATTATCAGTAAACTTCACCAAATTCTATAAAATAAGAACCATTACATCATTTTACAAATGAGAAAACTGAGGCATTGAGAGATTAAGTAGGTATCAATGGACAAAGATCTGTGGAATACTGGAGGTGGCATTCAAAATGGAATCTAAACACCTGAAAAGCCCATGTTCTTTCCACTACAGCATGACGCCTCCGCAGGAGGTTCTCATGTCTAGCATTGCTAATCCTGTTATAGCAACTGCTATTACTGGTTATTCTTTCTCTGCTCTATTATTTTCCTTGCACCATTAAAAAGCAGATAATAAAATCATCACTGGGAGATCTATAAACACAATTGCACTCTGTGACTTTCAAAAACATGTTTTGGATCTTGTTAGCACACCTCTTGTGCTCCGTCTATGTTCTGTTCCAGGTGTGCAGAACAGCTGGTTCACAATAACCTCCCAACCACCAGTGTTATCATGTGCTTTGTGGATGAAGTGTGGTCCACTCTCCTGAGGTCTGTTCATAGTGTCCTCAATCGCTCTCCTCCACACCTCATCAAGGAGATTCTGCTGGTGGATGACTTCAGCACCAAAGGTAAGAAAACTACTCAAGCTTTCTTCTGAAAAATCAGAGTTTGATATGAGGCAATAGCAGTTTGGATGACAAAATTACAGGGCTATTCGATGAAGCATAAGGAGCCCTGGTGGCACAGTGGTTGAAGTGCTCAGCTGCTAACCCAAATGTCAGCAGTTCAAATCCTCCAGCTCCTCCATGGGAGAAAGATGTGGCAGTCTGCTTCCATAAAGATTTACAGCCTTGGAAACCCTACAGGGCAGTTCTACTTTGTCCTCTAGGGTTGCTGTGAGTCAAAATCAACTCAACAGCAATGGGTTTGGGTTTTGATTTGATGAAGCATAAACATTTTACAAATGGTAAATCACTGTTTCATGTGGCACCTTGGAGGGATAAGTCTACCAGTATATGGGCTATAAAAGTCAGCTCTAACAATCGTCCCAGGTCCTTTTGTTCAACCTGCTGTCTCAGGCGTCTCTTCAGTTGTGACCCCTTCCATGTAGGAGTGATTTTCTAACTGCAGCTCCTTGGAGATGGGCACTTTGATGCGCCAAAGACCCAAGGATGTCCTGTACAATTGCACAAATACCTTTTATTACAATCTAATAAGCAAATATCTTGCAATTAATGGGATGCTTTTCCTACTGGTAATGACTAGAGTTAGTCTCTAGAGAAAATAAAGTAATGGAAGGTCAATGGTTTCTTCCTCAAGAACAATGCATAGCGTATGTTCACTCAAGTGTTGAGAAGACAAATTGCCACTGAGACCAAAGATGAAGTTCCAAAGGAGTTCAAAGGCAGAGTCCACCAAGACCTCTCTGTCTGTTGTTGTTTATTGCAGTGAGGAATTTCAGTCTTTGGATTGGCCAACAAAGTGTGCATGTTGGTGGTCTCACAGGCCCTATGACCACACAAATTACAAATTTCTAAAATCCAGCCCACCTCAGAAAATTTTAGAAAGTAGCAACGGGACAGCAACCTTAATACAAAAGCTTAGCTTTGCTCTGTGACCACAGCAGTGTGAGCCAGTTTCCTTAGCCTCAAAGTTCCTTTCAGAATCACACAACGCTCAAGAAGTGTTGAGATGCCGGAGGAAAACCAGTTTAAAATTTTAAGTGGCCTTGAAAGCTTAAACAGAAATAGTATCAAGTTACCAAGTCAATAATAATCCCTTTATGAGAGGCAGATCCAGATTTTATGGGACCTGAAGATTTTTCAGTTTTAGAAAAAGAACACAAAATTACACATACAAAATTCATAGGAAAATGAGCAGCAGAAGTTTTCCTGGAAGCCATTCCTACTTGGGACAGCTGTCAATTGCTTAATTACACACAAAAGTGCCTGCATGCCACATAAATATACCCATGAAACCCCAAAAATGTTCCTTTAGCTGAACCCTTCTATAGCCACTCAGCAAGAGAGGGGAGATGTGATGAAGAGGGATGTCAAAGTGGAAAGTGGTAGTGATTGTGACCAATTGCTGTTACAGTATTTTTTTGGGGGGGATGTGTGTGCAAATTTTACAATTTGCATACATTGCTAAACCTTCATGGGTCTTGGGAGCAGCTTTTGCAAGTGGAGGTCTTGAAGCCTGAGTAGCATTTGCTTTAAGCTAAATCTGTCCCTACCCTGATAAAAACTCAGAAAACATGAGCTCTCCTCAGTGCAATGTGGCAACACTAAAGATAGGGATTTGGGATTAGAGAAATCAGTCATCTTATAATATTGAATCGAGACGAAATCCATTCAAGAAAATGACATCAGAAAATAAAATCATGGCTCCAGGAAATAAAATTTAGTGACCATAGTAAATGTTTTTAGAGTTTGACATTGAGGAGGCATTTCTGCTGGAATTATCCAGACCTTAGTGAATCTAATTATTTTCTTACCTCTCCCCACTTTGCTGCAGACTACCTAAAAGATAATTTGGATAGATATATGTCTCAGTTTCCAAAAGTTCGGATACTTCGCCTCAAAGAGAGACATGGCTTAATAAGAGCCAGGCTGGCAGGAGCACAGAATGCAACAGGTAAGAAGCTACTAGTTTTTTTTTTTTTTTTGGTTACATTTTTGTTTTTATTTTAATATTTTTCAAGCATACAGCAAATTTTAAAGTTTAGTACAATGAACACACATCTATCCATCACTTAATTTAACCAATTTTTAACATTTTGTAATATGTGCTTTATCATACACATACACATACACACATACAGTTATATAAACTTACTTTTTCCTCTGAACCTTTGAAAAGGAATTTACAGATATCATGACACTGCACCCCTAGATACCTCAGCAAACATCTTGGAAGAATAAGGATATTTTCTTATATAAGCACAGCTTTCATACCTAAATATCACCTAATATACATGCTCTTGCTCAATCTCCTCAATTACTCACAAAATGTTTTGTGTAGCTTTCTTTCTTCTTCTTTTTCTTTCTTTTTATAATTTAGTATATAATTAAGGTTTATGCACTGCATTTTGTTATCTAGTCTCTTTATTCTCGTTTAATCTAGAATAGTCACTCTGCACACACTTCGTTATCATATTATTGATTTTTTTTTTTTTTAAAAGTCCAGGCCTTTCTTGGTACAATTGACCACATTTGGAATTTTTCTGATTGTTTCCTCATATTAGCAACAGAATAAATGTCTTCAGCATGAATACTACATAGATGATAGAAACTGTGGACTTCTTATTGCCTCAGACCAAGAGATACAAGATGTCAGACTATCCCTATGTTGGTGAAACTAATTTTTTCACTTAGGAGTAATAAGTAATTTGTGGGATGATACCTTGATCCACATGAATATCCTGTTCTCCGTATTTTACTTAATGGTTTTTCATCCATTGATGGTCCTTGCCTGAAGCAATTATTACACTGAGGTCTGCGAAATTGTGTTTTTTCTATTTCTGTCATTCTTTCTTTTATTAATTGCAAAGAAGAGCTCCCCTGCACTCACTCACTCTCTCTCTCTCTCTCTCTCTCTTGCCCCCACTATGGACTTATGGTTTAAAAAAAAAAAAACAATTCAATGTATATATGCTAGCATTATTCTTTTTGGTGCTCAAATTGTCCCCAAATTTGTCCACTGGGAACCCCTTCAAGCCTAGACCTTTTTGGCCTGATCCCACTGGTATTTGAGGTGTTCAGAACCTGTTAATTCTTGAATCCCTACCCACACCAATGTCTCTTCTCTGACCTATATCTGCTCTTTCTAGAACCCTTCCTGCTTTCCCAAAGGGCAGTATGCCTTCGTTTCCTCTCTTCTCTTTAATGTATGGATATTGGTAGGTTAGTGGAAGGAGGTGAATCTTCTTTGTTCTTTAGTATTCTAAAAATAACATGAAACATTTTGGTTCATTTTTAACATCCTTCTATGGAAAAAGCTGCGTCCCTGTGATAATAGCTGACCTTATACATACCAGGTACCATACTAAGCACTTTCTATATAGACTGACTTAATCCTCACAATAACTCTATAAGGTTGATGCTGTTGTTGTTGTGTGCCATCAATTCGATTCTGACGCACAGCAACCCTATAGGGTTTCCTAGGCTGAAATTTTTACAGAAGCAGATCGCCAGGTCTTTTTCCTGCAAAGCCACTAGTGGGTTTGAACCACCGACCTTTAGGTTAGCTTCCAAGTGCTTAACCATTGCAGCACCAGGGCGCCTCTCTGTGAGGTTATTGTGTGCCATCAGTCAATTCGGGCTCATAGAGACCCTACAGGACAGAGTAGAACTGCTCCATAGGATTTCCTAGGCTGTAAGCTTTAAGGGAACAGATTACCATATCTTTTCTCTCATGGAACAGCTGATGGGTCCAAATCACTGACCTATTAGTTAGCAGCAGAGCCCTTTACACATTGCACCACCAGGGCTCCCCTGTATGAGGTAGGACAATCATTTTTCCCATTCTACAAATAAGGGTATGGAAGCACAGTGAGGTTATGATTTGCTCAAGATCTGCCAGCTAGTAATAGTAAGTGTTGGAGTCATGATTGGAACCCAGACATCCTGACTCTAGAATCTGTACTCTTATCTACTACACTATACTGCCTCTAAACGTTTAGCCACCATTCTGCCTCTGTAAGCCATGGTATTACAAACCTCCCCAGCTTGGACTGAAGCATGTTCTGATAGTAAATTACCTGCTCACCTAAGTTTCACTTTCTTGTAGCTAGACCCCAAATTTAGAGTTCCTGTTGTTCCACTGGTTTGCTAATGTATTTCTTCTCTTTGTAATGGGTATTTTAAATTGACAACAAAATTGCAGTGACAGCTTAGATTCCTAATGATGGACTGTAGTCAGAAAAATTAAATAGCATTCCATGTTTAAATTTCTTTGGAAAGTAAATTGTGATCCACGTATGATGCAAAAATAGAAAAGCCAAGAAATACTCTAAGTAGGTAACTTTTGAGCTGGGATCTGGGTGAAGAACATCCCAGGCAGAAGGAACAAGTGAAAAGGCTTGGTGCAGAAATGTGCTTGGCATATTCAAGGTAAAGAAAGAAGGTCATTATGGATGGTGGGAGTTGGCCATAGGAGAGTGTTAGGAGATTTGACTGGGGAGAAGGGAAAAGGCAGGCTTTGTAAAGTTTGTACTTCATTAAAGACTAGAGGCTTTGTTCTTGGTATAATGTGAAGCCAATGAAGAACATTAAACAAGGGAGTAAAGTGTAAAATTACCAATCTGCGTTTTAAAAGCTCACTCTGGTCACTATGTGGAGACTTGGGCAAGTCTCATTCCTCTCACTGGGGGATAAGAAAGAAAGTAGAGGGTCTAGTTAGTAGGCTATTGTAGTTATCTAGGAATCTTGAACTAGGGAGCTACCAGGGCAGATGGGGACATGGTCAGATTCAGAAAGTATGGCGCCTACAGGACTTGCCATCACAATAGGATGGGAAGAGAGTAAGAACAAAAGGAATCAAAGATGAACTCTAGGATTGGAATCTATACAACTGGGTGAGTAATGGGGCCATAAGTGGAGAAGCAGGTTTGGGGTTGCAAATGAGTTCAGATTTGTTTGAAATGACAATTAGACATCCATGTGGAGAAAACTGATGAATACAAGACAGAGAATGTGCTGTTTATAAAATTTTTTTCTCTGCCTACAGAAAGCACAAAATATGCTAGTAATGGGCTCCAGGATAGTCCAACCTATAGACAACTTCATAGTCTGCCTTCAGATGTGTTGGGATGCAACTTGATCAAAAGCCGTTGCCTAACTGGCCTGCCCAAGTGTGTGCAGTTTCAACTATGAAATAATTCTTTCAGATTTAGATTCTTTTAAAATGTAAATTTGTCATTAATCAGCACCTTGAGCACATTAGTTCAGTTTGATGCAGTAACTTCCAACTATTTTGACCATGACCCAGGTTAAGAAATAAATTTTACATCATAACCCCATACATGTGTAGATTACACATATTGCTAGACATCTCATGAAATGACAAGTGCAGTGGGATTCTAATATCTTCTTCTTTCTTTTTTTTTTAATTTTGGCTATAATGCAAGTCCGCTAAATTGATTTAATAACCCACAAAGTGGTCACAACTTTCTGTTTGAAAAACCACAGCTAGGTGTATCTTAACTGCTTGCCTCTACTTAACTTGACAGCAACTTGTTTGGTTTTGATTTTTTACCCAGCAGAACAGTGCTTCTCAAACTAGCTGAGAAGGACTTTTTTGGTTCTAATTTCCATGTTTGCACTCCTACTGCAGTAGTTAAGAGCTCAGCTGCTAACCAAAAGGTCGGCAGTTCTAATCTACCAGCTGCTCCTTGGGAACTCTATGGGGCGGGTTCTACCCTGTCCTATAGGGTCACTATGAGTTGGAATGGACTCAATGGCAACGAGTTTGGTTTTATCTTTTTATTTTTATTTTTTTCTATCCCATATATACATATATGTAATATAAATATAACACAAATAAATTACCTAAAAAATAAATGGAAAAAACCATTGATATATAAAACACAAGCCTCTTTTTGTTATGTATACATCTATATATGTGTTATATATACAGTTACATATGTATATATATATACAGTCGGTAGACAATAAATTATTCTGGCAAATTGCTATGAAGTTTCAAAACATTTGCTCTCAATTTCTGTTCCTATCTCACTGTAGACATCAGGATCTGAGGCCCACACTTGGAGCAGTGTTAGTGGGGTACTGATGCCTGAGAGTTTGGAAAGAAGCAGAAAGGTGTGTGTCAATAGGACTAGTCACAGCTTTGCCTAAGGATACTTCAAACTGCTCTGAAATGCACCTGACCCCTGTGGAGATTCAGAACCCCATACCAGCTTTAGCTGAGAATATAATCCGGAAGCTGGCACTGAGCAAGGGTGGCCAGCCTGGTAGGTCCTCTGAGACTCCCTGTGGGCATCCTCCAGCCCTCAGAGACATGAGATGGGTCTGGGCCTGAAAAGTCCCTGTCTTCAGAGATCAACAAAGACACAAGGGCAAAAATTGTTTCCATAATGCCTTAGCTAAACAAAAAGTTTGAAGATAAGAATCTGGATCCAGAATCTGACAGGCCTTGACAGCTACAGTTCCCTAAAGATTTACCCTTTAGGATTCAGAGAAAGGGGAAGGGAAGTCACAGGCAAGGATGAGATCATTGATACTAGGATATGCAGAAATAGAAGTCAAGCACCTCATTTTGCTCTCTCAAAGTCTGAAAGAATCTTCTACAAAATAATAAAGTGCAAATGAAAATCTCTCTTACCATTCTTAATATCTACTACTCATTCGGGTTCCAGGGCAGTATAGGTTCTTTATTAGGATCTAATTCAGGCAAAAAGATCAGGTCCTGTAGGTTTGTTTTAAGGATTAACTGAGACAACCGTGTAGAATGCTTAGAACAATGTCTGGCATAAAGTAAACGCTTAATAAATAATAACTGAATTTATTATAGGTTATTATTAATCCCCCTACACACACACAGACACACAATCCACTTGTGTAAAAAATTCAGAGCAATGTAGTAGATGGTACTGAGGAAAGAGAGAAGGTTATGTCATACAACTAACAGAAAACAAAAGCGAAAGTGTTTCTTAGTAAACATTTCTGTCCTATTTCTTGTAAATTTTTTTCTGTCACCCTTCTTTCATCATCCCCTAGTGTTGCTGATTTCTCCACTTTAAGTCCTCCCCCTCCCTTCATTATGTAAAGTGATTTACCCTCTTCATCATTGCTAAGGCCATGCTTGTATTCTCAAACTCATTCTGGTCGTCCACAAACGAAAGCCTCAACCACCCACTCCCAGAGTTAATGGGACTCACTCTCCTTAGAAGAGACTTCAGCAACTACCTTTAATACTAAGTATTCCCTCTGGAGTCTTGCTATTCATTCTAAATGGCTAATCAATTTCTTCCAGAAGTAAATGGTGTTTGCCCTACAGAAATCCGATGAAAGAATTTTCTTCCATTTCATTACAGAATGCAATTATAAGGACCATGAATTCAGTGAGAAGAAAAGATTATTGCCTTTACAACCAACTTTCTAGAGTAACCCCCCAACATCTTTGAACATAAAAAGCACACACTCAGTATACTGCATTTGTAAATGATTGCTTTTTTGTTTGTTGTTTGTTATTATTGTTCTGTAGGTGATGTGTTGACATTCTTAGATTCTCACGTGGAATGTAATGTTGGTTGGTTGGAACCTCTCCTAGAAAGAGTTTATTTAAGTAGAAAGAAAGTGGCCTGTCCAGTTATCGAAGTCATCAATGATAAGGACATGAGGTAATATTTCCATATTTATAAGTGAACTTATTCCCACCACCAGCAAATAGTAATGGTCCTAGTCCTAATGTGCCCATCTTTGCAAATCTAAGAAATATTTACCGTTTATCCACTGAAATAAATTAAAATCCACGACAGATATCTTGGGATAAGAACAGATCAACCCAATGGTTTATTTGGTCACCACAAATTCTTAATATTAAATACCAAAATATCTAAATCCTCACCGTCTAGTTCTTCCCTCTTTATATTCAGCTGGATCCAAAAATATTTATTTTCCTCAAGTTTATTTCTTCAATTTGTTAGAAACACATATGTGCTGCTAAGTTGTTGTGTAGGTTGTGGGTTTTTTACCTCCCTCAAAAATGGCCAGGACATTATTAAAAGAAAAATATAAGTTAAAAACAAGCAAATCAACACTCATAAACCTTGAATTGTTATTAAAAACTTTGTGATAATCTAAAATCATCTTCATAAGTATCCGTTTTACTTATTTTAACAAGATATTGAGTTGGGTTGATGAAGAATTCAAAGACGTATATGATCTCAGGCAGTTTTTTTCTTTTTTTGCTTCCTTGGATTAGTTACATGACGGTGGACAACTTTCAAAGAGGCGTCTTTGTGTGGCCTATGAACTTTGGCTGGAGAACAATTCCTCCAGACGTCATTGCAAAAAATAGGATTAAAGAAACTGATGTAATCAGGTAAGTGTGTGAAATTCTTTTTTCAAGGCATAGAAAACAATTCCACAAAATGGCTGTGTTCTGTCACTCTCTAACATCAAAGATTACAGTTCTAGCCAATTGATGACCAAAAGCAAACAAGATTTTTCTGAAAAATTGTTTCCCCCCTACCTAACCTCATTTCTTAAATGGTAAACTGCATCCTTTTCAGTCTTGAACCCAGAGAAATTCAATAACACTATTCCTGTTCACCTTGAGTTTGTTGTTGTTGTTGTGTGCTGTCTAATAATTTCCGATTCATAGCAACCATATAGGATAGAGTAGAATTGCCCCATAGGGTTTTCTAGGCTGTAATCTTTATGGAAGCAGATCTCCAGGTCTTTTCTCCCATGGAGTGGTTTGTAGGTTCGAACCATCAACCTTTCAGTTAGCAGCAACCATTGTGCAACCAGGGTTCTTCACCCTGAGTTTACCCCCTGAGAAGAACAAAATAGTTGAATGTGCTGCACAAAAGCTGTATAACACACATAAAGTAAATGGGAGTGAAAATTAAGACAGTAAATAATAGTAATAGAAATATTACTATAATAATAGTTACTGTTAGAATTTTCTTTTAGAATCTAATCCAGCATATTCCGTGAGAGGGGTGCCAGCTTCTGTGAGTTAACTGAGAAATAATTCTGACCTGAAGTCAAAGTGAAGGGCTTTCTGTTACTTACCTCAAAGTCTAGAGCTGTAGAAAGGCACTCGACCAGCCACAGGCAGAGCAGCGGGAGTCTGAAGCTTCCCCTGCTGGAGAAAGACCCTGAGTAAACACAAGCCAGCAAGTCCCAAGAGAAAGTTAGAGGCTAGACAATGCATCACAGCATATTTTCCTTGAATTTACCCTTCAATAACTCATACCTCTTCCCTTACCGGATGTGATGCCTTCAAAATTGAAATCCCAAGGAAGTAAAGTGGGAGTCCTACCATTTAATAAGCACCATGTGCCAATCATTTAAGCACTCGATAATCCTAGGAGAGAGATGGAGAATAGCCCCCTTATGGAGATGTGGAAATTGAGACTTAAAAGAATTAAGTAATTTTTCTAAGAATTCACAGCTAATAAAAGAAGAAACTAGAATTTAAACCCAGATCTGCCTGAATCTAATACTCTTTCTCTAATCCCACATCTGAAGAACCTCGTTGCTTAATTCAGGCTCCCATTCTGAGGACCAATATGGTGGCTGAGGTCAGGTTATAGTCAAAATAATGTTAGGAAGAAAATGCACTCTAGATAGTCTGGTAAGGCTCTTTGGGGAATACAGATAGACTATGTGCATAAACAAGGCAGGGGATAGGTCTGGGCAAGAATTACCTTATCCTTGAGATTTTTGTATACCCCAAACCCAAGGCAGGCTCTTCACACAAACCATTCTGGGCTGGCTCAGTAGTGACCACCATGGAAAGTGGTTAATGTTTTTTGTTTTTTTTTTTTAACTGTTGACTATATATGTAGTTTCTATCCTCACTGACCAATAATATTAATGCAGGCCCGGAGGTCAGACTCTTTGAGTTTGAGCTCAACTCTACTACTTACTAGCAGTGTGGGCTCAAAAAAGTTACTTCATCTTTCTGAGACACTATTTCCTCATCTTTACATTAAGACTAATAAAGGTAGCTACCTTTTAGGTTGTTTTGTGAATTAAATGAGATCATATATATAAAACCAAAAAAACTCCTTGCCGTTGAGTTGATTCCAACTCACAGCAACCCTACAGGACAGAGTAGAACTACCCCATAGGGTTTCCAAGGAGTGAGTGGTAGATTCAAACTGCTGACCTTTTGGCTAGCAGCCATAGGTCACCGTAGCTCTTAACCAGTGTGCCACCAGGGCTTCCATATACATATAAATTGCACTAAAAATTTGGCTGTGGTTGAGAGAAAGTGGAGTGGAATGAATGAGAGCCTCATTAACTCATTAGACAAGGCAGGCTGCCTACATTTCAACCCCAGGTGTATAAAAACATAAAAGTATGTCACTTCAGGCAAGTTGCTTGCTTTCTCTGTGTTGCAGCTTCTTCACAATAATAGTACTCACTCAGAGGTTATTGTGAAGTCTGCCTTAATACATATAAAATATTTAGAATAGTGCCTGGCACTTAGTTTGCACTAACAAAGCATTAAAATGATTTCTCTAGAGGGTTGTGTCAGAGTATAAAGGAAAAATAACAATCCCAGTTCCAGGTCCCATCTTTGCTGACCCGAATCAAGCTCTGCCACCCTAAGCCAGGGAACTCATCACTTGTGTGGTATTTGTGACTCCATCCTAAGACCTCCCTGCACTTGGTAGCCATTCTGAAATGCCTCTGAACTCCATCATAATGGTACAAGTGACCCACACTTTAAAAACTGATTCCCATGAAATGCAAGTTTAAACCCTTCTTTTTTTTTTGTAGGTGCCCCGTCATGGCAGGTGGATTATTTTCTATTGATAAAAATTACTTTTTTGAACTTGGAACGTATGACCCTGGGCTTGATGTGTGGGGTGGAGAAAATATGGAGCTCTCATTCAAGGTATCACCAAGTGTTTCTCAAATTCTCTTTACAATTAACAGTTTATTAGATTTAAACGGTTTCATTTAACTAATATAATCAGATACGTGACTGCATCTGGCAGGAAATTTCACAGAAATTTTAGGGTCTCTGGATTAATGTTTTCATATCCCAGATTGAATTTGGGAGAATCGATATCTGTCATGAAACTTCAAAGGGCTGTCTTGTATTTCACAGCACCATCTCTGCATCTACAAATGGGGAAAATAACTTTCTGCCATTTGGAGTAAAATGCTTTGGGATTTACACTTGATACAAAACAACTCTCCTGAAACATTTCTCTTTGAAGAGTGGAATCACTCAGTAAAGGGTCAGTCCATCTCAGAGAGCACAAGTGGCAGAGGTACAAAAGTGTACCTCCAGAGCAGCCACCAGCAGGCCAGGTGTTTCCAATAGAGCTGCTCCTTTGGACATGTCATATAACTCTGGGTATTTTTGCAATTATTGATTAATGTCTAAGAAAGTCTCAGCAGCAGCAGTAGTAGAAAGCATCTGAAAAGCAACTGCTTTCCTGTGGAGTTGGGTGATATATATTACAAGGGGTGTTACTCTGGAGCCCCTGATAAAAAGAATGGTTTTCAAGTTGTGCTCCACAAGCTTTATGGAGCTTCACAAGATGTGAGAAGGAAGGGGTCAACAAATGGAAATCCATCCTCCTTTCCCTGATTTAACCAAATAGCGACTCATATTACACATTTTCTATATTGGAATTCTGTGAAGATTTCATTAGGAAGAAAAGTTTCCACTGCAGAGTAGGAAGAAAAAAAAATAATTTTACTAATTCTAAGCTAGTCCAAAGCAATATATAAATAAACCCTGTGGAGTTAAATTTTCTATTAACAGAGTGTTTTAGAGGCTGAGAGAGCTGCTTCAAATGGGTGGTGAAGGGGGGAAGTTGCCAGGTGTTTTCTTGTCATTATTTGCCCAGGATTTGTGGGCAATCGTTTGACAGTAGATGTTTATCATCGAACTGTTCCAGGTGTGGATGTGTGGTGGAGAAATTGAGATTATTCCCTGTTCCCGAGTGGGCCACATATTCCGAAATGACAATCCGTATACCTTCCCCAAAGACCGGATGAAAACAGTGGAGCAGAACTTGGTGCGGGTTGCTGAGGTCTGGCTTGATGAATACAAGGAGCTGTTCTATGGCCATGGAGATCACCTCATAGATCAAGGTTTAGATGTCGGAAACCTCACCCAGCAAAGGGAGCTTCGAAGGAAACTGAAATGCAAAAGCTTTAAATGGTACTTGCAGAATGTTTTTCCCGACTTGAAAGCTCCCATTGTGAGAGCTGGTGGTGTGGTAAGTTCAAGCTCCAATTTAAAATCTTACTTCATACAAACATCTCTTTCAAAAAATATGTGGAAAACGATGGATTAGTTCATTGTAAATACCATGTATGAGTGTGGATGGGACAAAGCATGGTTGAAGATTAAATATAGGTCAACCTCCTTGCAGGAGGTTGCTTTCATTGATCAATTCAGCAAATACTTACTAAGTATCAATAGCCTAGTCAGTATTTCAGAACTGGATTATAAAGTGGTTAACAAGATAGACTTGATCCCTGCTTTGTGGAGCTGGAAGTAGACGAGGGAAGACAGATGATAAACAAATACAGAAGCAAAGGGTAAATGCAAATATAGCCATTCTTACTTAGAGAACAAGCTATGAGTCGTCAATTCTCCTGCATTGGTGGTCACGAAGCCCTCTCAGAGAAGACTCTGAAGCCAAGGTCTGAAGGATAGTGTCAGCCATGCTTTTGAAAACGGCGTTCTAGGCAGAAGATGCAGCTCACTCAAAAACGCTAAGACAGGTGAAAGTTTGGGGCATTCAAGAACTGGTAAAGGTTGATGTGGTTGCAAGGGTATGAAGGAAGGAAGAATAACACTAGGGGAAGGTGGTGAGGGAGGCAGGGGTCATATCACACAGGTCGTTGTATGCATAGTAAAACCTTTCTTTTATTCTCTTTTCTTCTTTCTGAGAGTAATGGGAAATTATCGAGCAACATTAAACAGTGAGATGACATAATTTAATTAGAGCTTCTAAAGATTTCAAAGAGGGGCTGAAAAAAACAGAAGTTGTCAGAGAAAAGCAGAAAAAAGTTCCAGGGCACAAGGGAAGGTACAGAAAGAGAAGAAGCTGAGCTAGATAGGGTCCCTGGAATAAAAGGCCAAGAAGAAATCAAGGAAGAGGAGAAACTGGAAAAAAGCCATTTAAAACCTATTCTAGGAATGAGGCTTAATCTCAAGAGGATGGCAAGATCTAGGACATTTACCATTGCATGGGTTTAGTAATGGTTAATCAAATCTTGGCCTAAAGCTCTTTCTGAGTCATTTTTACTTCTAATCTCTGTTTTACTTCTAATTTAATTTTAGCTACAAATATTTTCAGTACTTTTTTTTTTTTAAGATTCATTTTTCTTCACTAGAACATACTTAGACTTGACCATCGTTAAGCCTGCACTTTGGGGCCAAGTTTTTTTTAATTTTTCCTAGAAAGTGGATTGTACAAACCAACCCACACCCTCTCTGCCTAGCAAATCTCCTGATGACAAAGACAGTGTTAGTGAAATCCTGGAAGAATTTATAAAAGAGAGGACTAGCATAAAAATTTGTTCCATTTTTATAAAATTGATAAGCATATGTGACCTGTTTGTACATAACATAGTATATTATGAAATAACCATTTTTATAGGTCAAAAACCTGAAGAAATAAACATAGACCACCTAAATGAGAACAAGCAGAAGCTATTTATTCAGTTTGCTATAGCAAGGAAGTCAGCCACCATTGCTTGGGTTTGGCAGAGGCTCAAAGGCAGGCAGGAGAGTAGGAAAGCTTATAGTGGAGAAAATGCACAGCTTCTGGAATGCCTGATTGAGGGCTGTCAGCACAGGCTAACTAGAAGCAGGGCACATCCTGTGTGATTGGTTTGGGAGCATGATTGGCTTTCTCTGGTTGGTCCTGAGTTGGAAGCAAGGCAAAAATTATAGAAGCCGGAGTTATCAACCGTGTCTGACCATCTGGGGCAATTTCTACAGAGGTTGTAGTTCGGCGTTTCAGAGTTGGTTGCTACAGAGGTTGTGGGCCATAGTTCTGTTTTTATATATGTTCTGTTCATTTGTATACTGAGTCTCTCAAACCCTAGAATAGCAGCCACTTTGGGTGGTTCAACCTAACGTTTTATCCCATGTAACCCATTAGAACACCTTGGAGTCATACACTGCTGAAATAATAGCATGTCAAATACGACTGCGAAATAAATTCAAATTGTTTAATTCATTCCCCGAGCATGGAAAAAAGAAATCCCCTCCATGGTGTTTCTCATCCTAGCAACACAGAATCTTCACAAGAGCATTACCAAACTTTAACCACCAGAGGGAACTAAAACACTACTTTTTGCTTCCACGGTGCCACTAGCATAGCTAATAGTTTCCATGGAATTTTTTGGGAGCTCTACTAATGAAACAGCCTTCTGTTGATGCCTGAACTATAATATATCAAAAGTAAGCAAATATCTTTTTAAATGATTATATGTTGCTTCTTTTATTTTCCCCCCACTATTTGTTGCCCTCTTTAGACAAATTTTAATAAAAATGTCTTCTGCTCCTTTCTGAAGCAACCAGTAGAGAGCATTCTTACCATTAAAACAACAACAACAAAAAAAAAAACCAAAAAAGAGATTTCCCCGAGTAACTGGGAGTGGGATTAACTAGACCATTATTTTGGATTCACAAATGTCTTAGTTTCCTAGGGGTATTATAACAAAATATCACAAAGTGGGTAGCTTTAAAGAACAGAAATTTATTTTCTCACCATTCTGTAGGCTAGGAGTACGAAGTGAAGGCATAGGCAGGACCCTGCGTGCTCTCTCTCTCTCACACTCTCTCCCTCCCTCTCTCTCCCTCCCTCCCTCTCCTTCTCCCCAGCTCTCCTTCTCCCCCTTGCTCGCTCGCTCTCTGGCTCTTTTTCTTTCTCTCTTTCTGTTGGCTCTAGAGGAAGAGCCTTTTCTCTTTCAGTTTCTGGTAGCCCCGGGTGTTTCTTGGTGTTCCTTGGCTTGTAGATATATCCTCACAAGGTGTGCTATCCTTGTGTGTCTGTGATTCCTTGTCTGCTCTCCCCTTTTATAAGACGCCACTCAGAAGGGATTAGAGCCCCCCCCTACTCCAGTATGATTTTGATAACAGATAACATCAGTAAAACCCTATTTCCAAACAAGGTCGCATTCACGGGTACAGGAGTGAGGACTTCAGCTTATCTTTTTGGAAGACACAATTCAATCCAGAACAACAATCTCCAAAGATCTATAACTTCTTTTTGTTATTTCCTCCACATTTTTTCTTCTTCTAACCTACACACTTTGAAGTGTATATCCAGTGTTTTGTTTTTTAATGAAAACAAATAATCTTATTGAACTAAAAATATTTAAACTAATTAAAGAACATAATCAATAGTATGTATTAAATTGTTAGCAAGCAACCTATAGTTTAACAATTCTGTGATAAACTGTAGGGAATTTCCACCTCTTAAATTAGAAAATGAAATAATTCAAAATGGATTATTTATAATTTATTCACTGCCTGGTTAAAAAAAAGATCAAGTAATAAAATTCACGATAAGAGGCATAAAATAAAAATGAAAAATAAATATTAAAAAGGTTCATAACAAGATAACGTTATTCACAATTCCTTAACACTTCATAGACCATTTTTATGTGAATAAAAGGAGTTTTCCCCATAATTTCTGTCAAATCTTCAGATGAAGTGGGGGAAGGGTAGACAAGGGATGGAAATTTTTTCTGTTTCCCAACAATGCCTCTCAGTGCTTGGAGGAAGCAATTATGGGAAATAAATATATGGAAGATTGAGAAAATCAGTTAAGCCAAGGATTCCCAAACACTATTCTGGACGATGTTATTAGTTGTATAGCCAAAATAAGATTCCATGGTCAAATAAATTTGGCAAACACGCATACTACATTCTCTCTTACACAGCAAGCTGAACGTTAGCACACTGAAGGTTCTGAAAAGAAGTTCTGGAAAAACACCTGTTTAGCTGTGCTGAATCCAGAGTTTTCCAAACCCATTTGAAGACACAATATTTTCTGTATAATCTACAAATGCACAATACTTATATTTATTGCTGTTAAGATCCAGGGAACAATTGGGCCACCATTTTCTTTCTTTAAGCCCAAGGATTATTCTACCTTCACGAATCTCTATGAACGCTGCTCTCTGAATTTCTCAGTGGTTGAATCCTGCGTGTTGTGACCACTCACATTTACTAAAGGTGGATTGTCTCCTGCCCTCCTATGTTTGTAATTTTAAATTGTGAACAAAGCTTTGTTTGAGGATTTTTGATGGAAATTCTGTCCTCCTAGAATAGGTTTGTGCATTTCTGTGCCAGACATTCTGGAAGTAATCAACCTGGTACTATTTTTATGTTTGTTTTTGTGCCTCAAGAGTCCCATCCAACACTAGTAGTGTACTTCTACATATCAAACCCAAATGAAGATTGGTGTAAGGTTTCAGATTCTTTAGAAACCCAGAGCCCAGGACAATGTAATCAAGCTTCCCTGTTGTTTCTCTTGTGCTAATGGGTAAATTGTTTTTCCTATATGCCATTTAAGAGTCCCTTGGTGGCGCAAAAGGTTAAGTGCTCCACTATTAGCAAAAGATTGGTGGTTCTAACCTACCCAGAGGCGCTCAGAAGACAGGCCTGGAGATCTGCTTCTGAAAGGTAGCAGACTTGAAAACCTTATATAGAAGTTCTACTCTGCACACGTGGGGTTGCTATAAGTCAAAATCAACTCCACAGCAATCAACAACAACAGTACACCATTTTCCTAAGGGTCTCCCTGTTCAAGTTTTCCATCTTCATGTGGAAGATCTCAATTCCAACTTGGCAGCTTATCCATGCCCACATTTTCCTTCTGTCTTCACAAGAGTGCAAGCCTTTTGCTTATCAAGGTCTGCAATTTTCCCTCTGGTTCTTAGTTTTTTTTGCATTCTTTGGTCCCTGAAGATTCCCCTTACTTTCTTGCAAGCTGAGCTATGCATTTAAAAGTGAGAACCAGCCCACTGACCACCCTGTTATGATATCTGGCAACTGTGTGAGCTGCAAGATTAGCATAGCTTCAACTCCCTGGAATTAGAGCTCTGTGTTAGTCACCACAGGGAACAGGAAGGGACCAAAATAGTGTCCCTGACGACAAAGACCTTACCACCTCCCAGTTCAGGAGGCCTTCCTGAGACATGTAATATAGACTTGGCTCTACACAGCTCTTCTAGAAATCAGAAAAGTCTAAATTGCATTATTAAACCACCATCTTGTTATCCCTGTCCCAGGATGTCAAAGGAGGCAAGAGAATCAACATTTTTCTGCATTAAATGGTGACTTATAGAAACCTGCCTCCATGTTTGATCCTGTAAATCCATTAAAAAGCTGGGGGTCTGCCAAAAAGTGCCTTTAAGTTTGGCTCTGTATTAGCTTTCGTGACTTTCCTGTAATGAATTGTAGCTTGCCTGAGTCATTAGGAAGATTCTGACAGGGAATCAGCTGAAAGCTGCTGTTCTTTGAAGGACTCAATTTATCTATGATTCAGTGCCTAAGCAGTCAAATAGCTGAAGGGGTCAGCCAGGAAACAGAGCTGGTAACTAGGAGTTGGTTTGATTAAATTGCAAGGATGTGCATTGACTTCTAATATATGCATCAGAAGAACTTGAGACAAGAAAATAACTACTTTTCATGCCATCTTTTGCTTGTTCCCCATTCAGCATTCCAGGCAAGGGTTAATTAAAGGCTTCTGTTTGCTGGCTCTGTGACTGAATCACAGACCTAAACTGACAGATTGAGGCTGTACTTTAGCAAGATTACATTATGTCTCTGTTAGAGATAGCAACCAATAAAATGGTATAGCGCTAAGTAATGCTAAGCTATTAACTTAGCTATCTTTTAACCTTATTATAGTTTTATATTCTGTGTTTTCTGAATGTGTCTGAATGTGTCTTGTTATATTTTAATTTTTTTTCCTCAATTCTTATTTTATATTTTCCTTCCTAGCTTATTAATGTGGCCTTGGGCAAATGCATTTCCATTAAAAACACCACAACTATTCTGGAAGACTGTGATGCGAGCAGCAAGGTATGCTAACCAGAGTTTATTTCATCTAGGGTAGTTGATAGGTGCAGGGTATGACACCAAGTTATTCATCATTCAAGAAATTCATCTTTGCCCAGTAGAAACCATAATTAACCTCTAAATTTCTATGCAGTCATGAGGTCAGTGGTAAGAGGGTACACATTAAATGTAAAGGCAGTGACTGAGGGAGTAAAGGTTGGGTACTGAAGTCAACCCACTAGGGATCCAGTCCTGGCTCCATACCTTACAAAAGTATGTTAGCTTTCACAGATTACCTAAACTTTGGGTAAATGGGAGAGTAGTAAGAGTGCATACTTTAGAGCTGTTGTAAAGATAGCATTAAATAATAGATATGAATAACTATCCTGCTTCATAGGTATATGAAGACAATCACTAACATTTAGACCTCCATAAATGCTCACTGTTATAATAACAAAGATAAAAATAGGAAAATAACACATATCATATCAAGATATAATAATATAGAAAATAGAGAACATATTTTAAAATAATCATTCTAGACAGCAGCCTAAGTCTCTGTTTCTGTCCCACTATTCTGCATCATAAAGGAGTAAGGGAAATCTCATAATCCATGATCCATGGTGGACAAGTTTACAGCAAAATTTTGACAAACTCGGATTCCAGTGGTTAGGGGTGGGAGTAGGGCCAGAGAGAGCAGAGCAGGGACTCTGTGATGCTGGGGGTGAGCTCTGAGTTTTCACACTTCCCGCTCCAACATATGTCCCCCACAGTTCTACATTCTGTGGGGGCAGTTATCTGGTTTGGATGCCAAATAAGAGTGAGTAGAAATGGTGGAAGCAGTCCAAAAAATTGCAGATCACTCTTTGGTAGAGAAATTATTTTGTGATGATAATTTAGGCTTGCCAAGACTTACTTCTTTGCCTAAACTTAGAGATATTATTTATATTTTTGGTACATCCCATCTCAACCTCTTAATTCCGGCACCAACAGTTAAGCGCTTGACTACTAAGCCAAAAGGTTGGTGGTTTGAGTTCATCATAGGCACCTTGGAAGACAGGCATGGTGATCTACTTGCAAAAGGTCACAGCCTTGAAAACCCTATGGAGCAGTTCTACTCTGCACATATAGGGTCGCCATGCGTCGGAATCGATAATGACAACACCTAAAAGGAAAGGGATTTTGTCATCTCTGCTGCTATAGCCCAGCAATGGCTTGTAAATTTGAAGCTAGTGGAACTGTTTCTTGATTTGAAAAGGGAGGATACAGACAGGGGGAAGGGTAAAGTGTCAAAAATCGATTGAAAGAAATAACCTATGCTTAGCAACAATTCAAAGGTGAGACAAAGTAATAAATTTTAGAACAAAACCACAATTTGTCCAAATATATGAAAGAAATTATTAAATAATGCAATCCCTCAAGACTCAGATCATTGTAGTGATGATAACCTAGTATTTCACATGAAAACCCCAGTTCTGTTCTGGATAACCATTGAGTCTCTCTTGGGGATGCTAATATTCAAAAGTATGAATCATGCAGCCTCTGTCTCCCAACAATCCATCTTCCTTTTCAGTCTTGTTGCTCATTTTTAGCATCTGCCTCATGTGGTTTGTATGAGTAATAAACAGTAAAGAAACATGAAAGATGTTAGCTTATTTTCAGGAGAATTAATAAGGCTTAATACCAAGCCAACGACTGCAGCATTTATCAAAAACAGCTCAGAAGAAATAAAAACTGTAGGAATGAAACTTCAAGCCTCACCCCTCAACTTACCTAACTTTCCTTAGTTAATCAACTTTAAAACCAGTTTAGATGTCCCTTTTCAAGGTAATTTCTAGCTTCTTTTAGTATCCACCAAACAAAAACCAAACCTGTTGCCCCTGAGATGATTCTGACTCATAGTGATCCTACAGGACAGAGTAGAACTGCCCCATAGGGTTTCTAAAGAGCAGCTGGTGGATTCAAACTGCCAACCTTTTGGTTAGCAGCCATAACACTTAACCACCCTCCTAATATCTTATCATATATTCATGCCTCTCAAATTTTAACGTGCACACGAATTACCTGGGAAGTTTGTTACAAAGCAGAGTCTATTCAGTAGGTCCATGGTGGAGCCTGAGATTCTGCATTTCTAACTAGCTCCTAGGTAATGTTGATGCTCAAAGGGCAAGGACATGCTTAATCATCAAAATTAAGTCTCAATTTTATTATGAATGATTCATTATATCTCAAATACACTACACATGACTCATTAGGTAAATGCATATATTTAGATTTTACCAGCTGTCTCTTTGTTTTTCCTAACAGGTTCACATTACTTTGCAAAACAGCAGATTTTCCATAGACCCAGAGCCTTAGAGTAAATTGACCAGGCAGGTAATACTAGGTTGTGAGCAACTGGAGAAAATGTGCTTATATGTGTTGAAAACACGACTCCCTGACCCAAATCAGTATAGACTGTAGACAATGACGACTCTCCAAACTGGACTCACTGGAAGCTTTGCCCAGAGCAGTTCCTACGATGTATGGGATGCTAACACAGGGGCAAACTGATGATTCTTTGTGCTATCACCAAAGACAGATTTTAACCTTTCCTACAATAGAACAATCCTCCAGAGTCCAATTGTCTGGATAGTCTTAAGGAAGCATAATAATTCCTACAAGGAAACTATGACCTGTAGCCTCAGTGGCTCAGGGCCCTAATCATGTGGTGGTTGGAATGTTCTGTTATTTCAAGCACCTGAGTTGTCTGGGATTCAGAACACCTGAAATTATATCCATTTTTAGATATGAACTAATGGTACTAAATACTTTTTGTTATTACAATTAACTTTTATTGAGTGCTTATTATGTGCTAAACACTTTGCAGTCGTTACTTCAACCCTCTGAGACGGATATTATTGCTATCCAACTTAAAGATGAGAAAAATGAGCTTAGACAATTTAAATAATTTGCCTGTAGTATCAGAACTGAAAGTGGCAGTACCAGGATTTGAATAAAAAACATCTGGTTACAGGATCTGAATACAAAACATCTTAACCATTGGTAATGAAAATGATTGAAAAAGCCCCAGTCTGTTTGCTGCCTGAAGTGACCCACCGTCTTATTCATTTGGCCCACAGTTTCAACAATTTACTTACACCTGGTTAAGACTTATTAAACATGGAGAATGGTGTTTAGCTCCCATTCCTGACAAAGGAACCCTAAGGCTGCACCCTTGTGATAACAGAAACAAAGGACTAAAATGGCTGCATAAATCAACATCGGTCTTTCATCCAGAACTGGTAAGTGAAATATTTGTACCTCTTCTTTACTACAAATTCAACTTTCAATCAAAAAGAACGTAAAATGCTCTTTGTCAGCTTCCGCAATCGGAAGCTTTAAATGTGTTTGTTACAATCGTGCAGTGTAAAAGTTCACACAGAGAGACAAACAGATATTTTTTGTAAATTGTCAAGTCCTTTCTTTTCTTTCACAAAATCTTTCAAACCAGTTATTTTAAATAGAAGTCACCAGGTTCTTTTGGTTATATTGCTAGCATCATCTTTGTTTCAAAAAGTCATTTGCTTCAGTTAATCAACAATGCAAAAAGTAAAACTTATTGCTAGAATTGATTCTCATTGCATACTAGAAAAGCTTATAGGGAGAGGATATGAGGGAAAGCAAGAAGCAGAGTGCTTCCTACAAGCCCTGCACTTTAATGTGAATCTGGTTCCTCGTTCTGCCCCTTTTCTGTGTAAGGAGACTTCTTCCCATCCTCTCTGGTTCCCAGAGACCTGGGCTCTCAGTGGTGGGCTGGAGCCTACTTGCACAAGCTGGCAGGAGCTAATTGTGTTCATCTCTTCCCAACTTTGCATCCAGTGATGTCAGGTTGGTAACTTGAAACCAGCCATGGTGGGAGTATTTACACCATAGAAATCTGTAGGTGCTACAAATCAGGGCATGCTCCTCCAGGGATACAGTTGTTAATATTTACCAGAATACCCCTGCTACTCTATTTGCTCTCAAAGTCCTCTCAGTCTTTCCCAATTATATTATAACAGGATACAAATTCATAATCTTCGGTGTAGGATATTAGGGTGGTGGGAATAATTTCAGGTCTGCCTTCTCAAATTTCCTAATATCTCGCTCTCAGGTAGCCACCAAATCCACTGAACGCATTGGGGGTTTGGAGACCATCATTTTGCCCAGGGCTGGCCCCAGCGTAAACGCACTTTTTTTACTTGGGGTGCCTCCATTCCTTTGGATGCCACAGATAGTCACTATTCTTTTCATGACTTTTTTTTCTTTTTCCTGCTCAAGGCCAAAATCCATAAGCTTGCCAACACATTCTCCAATCTTCTTCCCATTAAATAGTGTCTTTTCTATTTCAATTCCTTCAGGATGATTTTTTTTTTTTTTTTTTAGAAAAAACTAGGAATTACTAGTATATAAGCTATTAATTTTATTTTACATACTTCTGGAGAAATGCATAAATATCTACCAAATAAATTATATCTTACCTTCTCCTTACCCCTCTGCCACAGATGAGAGAGACAGAGAATGAGAGAGAGAATGATATTAAGAACATATTCCTCATCTCCGGAAGTGAATCGGTTATTAGAGAAGATTTCAGGCTGGTGATGAAAATTTTGGGGAGCCTGTAGCCCTTAAATCATATAGAGCTTATTTACGAACTGGTTTGGCTCTATTGAGAACTCAAGTCTCAATTAGGTGATTTTCGTATAGGCCTAACTTTGATCCCCCTGGATATCAAGATGATTTGGTAAAGAAGATAATTTAATCAAGGTAGCAGAAATTAGAAATCTGTTCCCCTGCCTTGTTTGTGACAATGATTTTGTGATATCTTATATAGCTGCCTTCTGCCTTCTTTTTTAACCTTCTGCCTTTGGATGCTGCTAGGTGTCATGTGGATGAATATCTTGGCAGTTGACTTTCTTTTTTCTTCATTTTTTCAGTAGCATTTATACTAAACCTCCTAAGTTCCGCAAGAAATGTAATCTTAAAGAACAAAAGAAATTGAGAATAACACTATGGATAATAGCAACATGTCTCTCCATTTAGAAAACATTAAGAATTTGGAGCCTCATATAGGGAGGGAGGTAATAGTGAATTTGACCCTGTATATCAATGAATTATTAAAATTATACCTCTCTAAATCTGAATTTAAAAAGGCACTCTTGTGCTCTTATGCTCTTGATTGTGGCCTCCTCAGAGAAAATAGTCTCACGGGTGGTCATCAGGACTTTGGATATGGAATAAATCTCTATCCACATATTTTTACCACTGGCTCCCACATCAGGTGTCTTTGGTTAGGGACAAGTCATTTGGTTACCTCTTTACAACTTGCCTGCAAAATATTATAGATAATCCAGAATGATTTTGTTTAAGGCCAGCTCCTTTACAAAACCTTGAGCATACTATCTCTTGAGCATCATATCTCTGAAGTTCTTCAAAGGGGACAATGTTTTTGTAGGCACATCTTTAAAATAATTATGACAGTCACTTCTGTTTGATAAATATTTTAAATTATTTTTAAATATATGTGTGTGTATGTGTGTAATTAAGATTACCTTTTAAGGCAACATGGATAATTAAAAGGACTTATAGGTGGAAAAATTATGAAGCCATGAGCAAGTGCTAAGTAGGTTGTCTACTATCTCTAGGAGATTCAACAAATATTATAAAATAATAGAACCTCTGAAATGTCTTTGACATTTTCTAATTACATCTGAATTTTCTGGACATCAAGCATTGTTACTATCAAAGATTATGGTAGGGAACTCATAAATAAAATGCATCATTTCTAGAATTTTATAATCCAAATTTGCACTTTAATGCCTGGGTTTAATTAAGAACTTAACTAATTCACTTTTTATGATGGTATGTGGTTTTTTGTTTGTTCTTTACCACTATCAGTGAGGTAGCAATCATTCACCAAATACAGTAAATGTTATCTAAAATTATTTCCTTTAAATAATATTATCAGCCATATTGTCAGAAAATTCTTTTCATTCCCAAAGAATTAAATTTTTTTGTAGCATAGAGAAGTGTGAAAACTTAGTTTGAGACAGAGACAAGCTTAATACTTTCCAAAACTTGCATTTATACTATCTATTTAGTTTAGAAGAATTTCTAAGGAATCAAAAATATAGTTATCTATGATTTTTATTGGTTTCCATTTCTTTAAATCTCAATTGTCAAATTCAGTCTGTGACTCATTCCCAGATTCCCTTTCTCTCCAGGTGAATCACATTGTTTTTGAAAACTATCATCAGTTGTTATGCCTAGAAGGAAATTTTCCTCAGAAGACCATGAAGGCAGCTACTTGTGACCCAACGAAGCCAAATCAAAAGTGGAAATTTGAAAACTATTACGAAGATTGAAGAGGAACTGGTGCTTTTATCTAGTAAACCTATTAAAACCAAAAACCAAATCCATTTCTGTCAAGTCAATTCCAACTCATGGCAACCCCAAGTGTTACTAAGTAGAACTGAGCTCCATAAGGTTTGTTTTGGCTGTAATCTTTGCAGAAGCAGATTTCCAGGCCTCTCTTCTACAGTGCTGCTGGGTGGGTTTGAACTGCCAACCAAAGCTGGGCACAAACCATTTACACCACCAGGGACCTAGTAAACCCATTAGATACTAGTAGTAGTTTAAATTTTCAATTTTAATAGCATTTGAATGGAAGAAAATGTCACAATATTTGTGACACAAAAAGATAAGGAAGCAGTCCAACTTTGGACTAGAGTTCTTTTTCAGAATCATGTGGCCTTTTTAATAGCCTCTTACCACCACCCCAGCCCCCCAGCCCCTACTGGAACTCAGCCTGCAAGTTTTCTCCATACAGTCTAACAGGTCACTGGAAATTAAAACAGGAACATTTTGGGAAGCACAAAGATACTCATTATGGCTGTGTTTGATAATAACCAGCTCTTTAGGTACACAATTAGGTATAATCAATGAAAACTTGGTCCTTTGTTTGCTATTTTTTTAATCAACTAAAACTGCTTGAGTTCCTATGGCTAGGAAGACCTCAGAAACACACAGCTGTTACCTTGGTGAAATCTCTGTAGACTATACATGTTTGCCTAACTGTTTGAAATGTATTGATATGATCCTACTTGATAGCAGAGTTTTGATCTAGATAACCACATAAAGTGTTTTCCCAATCTGAGGTGAGACCGTCAAATGCTTATTCAATTCAAAGTATGGACATTGCTTCAGCTGCTTATTTTGTGCTTTTAAAACTATACTTAAAAAAAAAAAAATGGTTGCACTAACAACTTCCTGGACTTATGTGGATATTAAAAAAGAGGAAAAAGAGACTAGGTCACAACACATTGTAGTAACAAAAAAATAATTTAATTCTTGAACCAACTTTAATGTGGGACCAAACAAAGAGAGTTGAAATGAATAAAGTGGAAATAGAGTATTGAAAAATATTAAGGTTCTTTTGTACAAAACTAGTAAATTACTATTTTAGATTTAACAGCAATCACAGTGAGAAAGTATGCTAAAAATTGACTCTAAAAGATTTCAACATAGAAATAAGGAAAGGAAACTTAATGAAAGAGAAGGAGAATGAGGTAAACAACCATCACGAAGAGGGTCAGGGAAGAACTGCCCAGTCTTGGCCCAAAAAAGAAAGTTAAAAAAAAAAAAAGTCATGAACCCAATGATAACACTGACAATTTTGGAAAAAAGTCACATTAAATATTTCATTGATTCAAACTGATCCTGTGATCTTAGGTATGCCAATACTTAGGTATAACAGAATCTGAGAGATCATGATAATCATTTACATTCATTTTAAAAAAAAAAAAAAAAAGATGCCCAGAAGACAAATTACTATCCAAAAATCCCAGGCCAGTTAGTGAGAGAACCAGGATTAGAATTTGAGTCTCCAGAGACAATGCTCATTCTGCTATCCCAGGCTACTGGCCTAAGCAATCTGCTTCACCAGATTCCTAAGAAAGAGATGCATAAATCTTTTGCTGGGGTGGGTCCCTAAAAGATTTACTGTTAGCTCCCTTCGAGTTGAGTCATTTGAGTTGACTCATGGCAACTCCATGCACAATGGAAACCCTGCCCGATCCTGTGCCATTCCTATGACTGGCTGCAGATCAGACTATTGTGATCCATAAGATCTTCATTGGCTGATTTTCAGAAGCAGATTACCAGACCTTTCTTCCTAGGGTTTTTCTTCCTAGGGTGTCTTCATCTGAAAGCTCCGCCGAAACCTGTTCCCCATCATAGCAACACGCAAGCCTCCACTGACAGATGGGTGGTAGTTGCACATGAGGTGCATTGACCAGAATTCAAACCCAGATCTCCCATATGGAAGGTGAGAATTCTACCACTGAGCCACCAGTGCCCCCCTTGCCCCAGAGGATAGCCTCGCTATATGCTCATGACTATAATCAAACCTTTGCTTTGTTGAGCTGTTAGTAAAACTGGGCATCTTTAGTTCTGACTTCCTATTTAAAATTAAATTTTAATTCCCAATTGATTATGCAAAAGCTAAGCTATAACTAAGAATGGGAACGGGAAACAGTTTTGCAGACCTGAATCATATTTAAGATGTTTTATTCCAATAAGTGACATTGCAGATGAGATAGGAGAGTGACTAAAAAATGAGACAATACTTTTCAAAGAGCCAATATGGGGGGAAAAACACAAGCCGGTTGCTACAGGATTGATGAGTCACTGACCAAACTGAATATACCAAACCAAACCCAACTCACTGCCATAGAGTCAATTTTGACTCATAGTGACCCTATAGGACAGAGTAGAACTGCCCCATAGGGTTTCCAAGGAGGGCTGGTGGATTCGAACTGCTGACCTTTTAGTCAGCAGCCGAGCTCTTAACCGCTGTGCCACCAGGGCTCCACCCCAGTCTATAGACTATCTTTATATCCACAAAGAAAATTGTTCAGAACAACTGTTCAGTCAACTCTGTTCAGGAAAAGACAGATTATGTTTTAGATGAATACATTATGCACTTACCTTTAGGTATACCAGCTGGAAGAATCTGAATGTTTTATCAAAAGAAGTGTTCCATGGTTTCCTCAGCGTATGCTTTTCCTGACTTTACCTTGATGTGTATATTATATGAAGCTATTTTTGAATCTATTTTGTCAGTATAACAAAGGATTGTTTTCATACATCACATATTCTTGGGTAGAGTTTTCAAAACAGTTTTTACCATATATTTGCTCAGTTATTCTATGCAATATCTAATCACTAGTTAGGAATCTCTACTGGCCTAACCTTGAGAGTATTGACTAATTGTTAAATCTCCCACCAAAATTTTTTTAAGCACTTTTGCTTTCAGAAGACTCTATTAAAGGCATAAACGCTACTAGGTGATCTGGTACTTGTAACGATAAGCCCTTGGATGGTATGCATGGGAGTCCTAATAGCCCTGGATTCTTCAACAGGGAGCTGTATTACTGGGGGCGTCAGGTTCTTCCTGGATTGGCTTGGTTTACTGTCTTTGCTTAGAAAGATATCCATTTGTCTCGTTACCTTGAACACACTGGTAGTCTTGATAATATTTGACAGGATTTATTTGATCAAATCTAACTTACTAAATCATCTATTAGAGTGTTTCTGAGCCTGTCAGTTTGCTGAATTCATTTCCCTTTTCAACAGTTACCCAGAGCTTCCACCCCACTCCTCCGAAAGATGTCACAGCTGTTGTTGGTACAGTCATATTTTATCACCAGCATCAAATTTACTCAATTCTGCTTGCTGACATTCAATAGGCTGTCATTCACAGGACTGCAAACCACCATGTGCCATGATCACAAAGTATGGTTAGCTTCCCCACACCAAACTAGAAACATTCTCTTAGCTACTAAAACACCTTGCTTCTGGCATCACCTTTGAGGTTATAGAAGGGCATCAGTTACAGTGTATAGGAATTCAATTTTGCCTGTCAACTTTGATTTCATGAATGCCTTAGAATGGTTTTCAAAGGGTCTTCATGCAAGAGAATGAGATTGAGATACACCATATGACACCATCTTTATTTGTTCTAACATCTCTAATTTAACTTCCATATTCAGGACACAGGAAAGAAATCATGCTTCAAATGAAGGCCCCATTAACTTGGATAAAAACAAGGAAACTACAAAGGGTGATTGGAAAATGGAAGGGAGCCAATTATGGTTGATTGCCTTCTATGTGCTAGGCCCTGTATGTGCTTACTGGTCTGCACAACTTAGTGAAGGGGGTTTCATTCTCTCCATTATATAGACCAGGAAGATGACTGAGAGGAATTTAGTAAATAGGCCATGCTGCTAATATATATGCATGGCAGTCAACTCAGGTGGGCTCAGTCAAAGTCCCTGGATTGCATATTATTGATGCCCAAGATAATGGAATGAGATGAAGTCAAAACCTCAGGTCTGTCTTTGTATAGACAGGAAATAGAGACTGGGCCCCTCTATTCAACAACTCACGCGTAGGCTTCAGGGTAGCTACCTCCATGTGCTTTGCTATGATCTGTCTCCTTGATCTAAAGGCTTGATGTAGGAACTGTTATTGCCCATCTCCTGGAAGAAAGGCGAGAGGGAGAAGTGGACATGTAGGAGGTTAATAATTCTCGGCAAATAGTAGTACCAACTCTTTCTTGGTACACAAAGGAATGCTGACAGATTGCTCAGTTTGAACAGAGATGGGAGATGAAAATTTGAAGAGTCCTTTAATTTAAAGCACAAATCATGACTTTGAGCTTCACTTCATAAAGTAGATTGTCACCATAGTGCTTTTGCAACAACCTTTGTAGGAGTTACTCAATAATTGCTATAAATCAAAATGACTTGAAATTATAAAAGGAACACTAACCAAAGTTATTGTACAAATATTTATTTTGAGCACAGAACTATTACATGGACAGGTTCGAATAAGCCATATAAAGTATGACATAGCCCTGATGAGGCTTAAGGAATGGTATTTCAAGGGGTGGTGGTGCCTGTATCAAAAAGAAAGGAAAAAAAAATACCATCACACTAAGCAGATTTAATGCCTCTGTTTTCAATCTAATGGATCAACGAATAGCTACCATTCCAGTTAGAATCTTTTTGCAAATTTATATGAATCTTTGCTTTGCAAACACATAAACAAAACACAACTAAAAATTCTCATTTTCCAGCAAATAGAGCAACTTCTAACATGCTGAGATTCTACTGATAACAGTTGCCATCAAGTAAGTAACAAATAATTTATCTGAACACAGAGGTTTTCTATTTTATTGAATGATAGATATCTGCTAGTTCAAGCATATGAGTCATAAATATGTATACAAATAAGGCCTTTATGTTAGATGTTAAAACTAAAATTTTTATGTCATGAATAGATTGTCTTTAAATTTAAAATTGGAATTAAAATTCTAATCCAATTGAAAAAACATATCAATCTTCATAAATATATGTCTATAATTTATTTGATGCATTGAATTGGGAGAAAGAAAAACTAGGGGATTCTACTTAAAATTTCAAGAAGTTTAAGAATTTTTAAAATAGTTTTAACTCTTTTAAGTGCATGCATTTGACTGGATCTGGACTTCTGGACAGAAGTATCTCAGGTGGATTACATTTGAGTTTGCTCTGGATACTCCTTTCCAGATTTGAAAGGAATAATTCAACTCTAAATTATCAGGATGCTCATTATTTAGTTTAGGATTATGCACATGGCTGAATTCTTCTTCAAACAACCGCCAAAATTTTTCGAACTTTATACATATTCATTATAGGAAGTAGGCTTAAAAACAGGAGAAGGTCAAGATCAAATTAATGAATTTTGTTATTGATTCCCTGATAAACATTGTTTAGTGGGAAAACTAGATTGAAACTATGGAACATAAAAGAATTTGGAGTTTCTTTGAACATTTTTAAGTCCTCAATTTCTCTGCCTCTGACTAGTTGAAGTGATTATAAAAAAAAAAAGGAGCCAAATATGTCATTTTAAATTTCTGGGTAAAAATTCAGATCACTTTCCAAACTCATTTCCAAAATTTCTCCAGAGCTATCAGTTAGTTACTAGATCTTGTCATTTGATTTTGTAGTTGCCATTTGTCTGCAAGATTTCTGCTGCTCATTAGTACCCGTATCATTGTTTGTATTGATTCTACAGCCTAGTCACTTCTTGTTCTTCATGAGTTCTATATGCATTTGTGTCTTCATATTTATTATGTTATGTTTCTGTCTGATAGTTTAATATTGGCAAATGTTTGCTATAACTTTTGACATTACTTTTTATAGTCCTCTTGTTTTTATAGAGCTATGAAAGTTCAGGCTTTAAAAGAAGTGGTTGCCTTTCTTATATGGTCAAATGTATTTCTTCTTTATGCTACTCTGATGTTTCATCTTTTTCCATAATTTTCTATTATTACTTACTTTAAATGTTTTCCCGATCACTATGAAAAACTTAAATATCTATTCTACATTTGAAAATGTGCAAAAAGTACTACCCCATGTAAATAGGCAGAACCAATTACTCTAAAAGTGTCATCGTGCTTTAAATGTATTACCTTGATGACTACAAATATATGTATATATTTTTCAAGCTGTTGGAGTTAAGAAGCATCTAAAATAGTATCTCAGTTCCTATAAAAACTATAGAAAATTTTCATGTACATTTTGTATCTACTTACTAGAAATTCTTTTTGCAGTTTCATATAAAATCATTTTAAGAACTTTTAAAAATAAACAACGCAAATGAATTAAAATGGGCTGTTCTCTTGATTTCCGAAGAAATAGTTGATGGTCTTAGCAGCTACCGATATGCAAGAGTTCTAAATTTCAAAAGGAAGCCAAAGAAAATAGTCTAGAAACCACAAACGAACACACAAACTATTATTGACAGCATGTTGGGCACGGTATTTCTTTATTTAAGGTGTTAACAATGATTTATTCTGGCATATTCTATGCATTCAAAGACAGCGTTATATAAAAGGTAAATGTATACTGTCAGAGAAATACAGCTGTTATTAATTCTTGTTCACCCAGCAACTAAAGAAAACAAAAAGTCATGTAAGAAAATATCAGCATTCCCACAAAAAATCAGTTCTTACTCCTACCAGGTACCAGAGCCCTTCTTACCACCCCTGAACCTTGAACCATAAAAGCTCAGGTAAACCTGAAATACCAATTTGTGTTCTTCATAATCTCCCACATGAGTTTCAAACATTTTAAATGCCCTCATGCAATCTGAACCAGACCCTTGTCTTCCCTAGGTTAAAAAGAATCTAACAGCCATCCATCACCATCATGTTACTTGAGGTCATTTAACTTTACGGCCTTGACAGAAGATGGCAGTATAGGGCAATGGGCACTGAGGACAAAGAATAGTTTCAGTGCTCTTTTGCAACTACGTTGCTTCATCCATGAACATTAAACATTCACTAACTGAACATACCCTAAAATAATCTTCATTGATAAAATATTTTCAGATTGGTTAATCATTTGACAAAAGCACAAAGCTAAAAAGGCCAGGGTTACTGTATGTTGAAACCCCATAAGAACTGGTTGGTTTGTCATGCCGTATGGCCGTAGACTTACTTCTACAGGGATGCATCATCTTTGATAGAATAACTCAAAACACACGTTGTATTCATTGTAGGTTAACAATATGGTCCAGTTACATACTGTGATTTGAAGCTAAGTGGAAAATTGTAAGGATCATTACTAATTCAAAAAAGAAAATAGGTTGTCCAGGTGGAAAGATTTAGAAGATTTAAATTAGTCAGGAAATTGTCTTAGTGCATCAATCTTCAACCTGGCTTTATCAACAGAGGGTTTTATTCTTAAAACTTGTATTGTGAAGAATGAGATCTATAGGTTCTGTATTGCTTAAATCTTTTATATGGCTCATCTGTAAGCTCTCTGAAAGGATAGAAGGAGCACTCCAATCCTGAACTCAAAATTGAGTCTTGTAAAAACTAACAGTATATGATACTTTGGAAATATATTATACAACCAGGAAGAATTAAAAGAAATTGCCATCAGAATGTGTGGGATTTGTTACACATAAATAAGCAATAATCTAAGAAAGGCTAACCCAGGGTTTTTCACAAAATGAAAAGAAATAAACAAAGGGTTGACTAGTACAATGACTGTATTACATTCAGACAATAAGGAATTGTCTTTTTATTTGCAGGGCCAAAAAATATCTTTTATCTGTGGTGACAAAAAGTTCAGGGTAATATATATGGAAGCATGAAATGAAAAATCGTGGACCAAAGTATCTAAGAAGAATATAAATATACTCTCCATTTTCATAAATATACATTATTTGACATATTGGTTTTAGTGAAACTCCACAAGCACATTTTTAAACAGCTAGATTTGGGCTGAAGTCCAGTAAATTATATATTACCAACAACCATCAGAGCTTTGTCACTAAAAATACACGCTCACACTCTACTTTGAAAATATCCTAAGATAATTATTTTCACTTTCATAGTTAAAACTAGTACAGTTATGACGAGAGTTGTCTTGGGTTTCTAAGGAAAGATAATTATTCTGAGAAGCTGTTAATAAGGGAACGAGTATGGTAATAGAGAGGGGTATTTTCTTAAAAGCGTGATAAAATTTTCATTTTCATTTTTAATGGCTTAAACTGTTGTAGACAAGCTTTTATTTTCAAGCACAGAAATGAAAGTATCAAATATAGCTCTTTAGTCTATTGCCCACCAATCTCCTGCCCCTCCTTTGTATCAACCTCACAATGGACTTAATTCAGTTTGAGAGCATAAAGCTAACATTTAGCGAACAAAACTTTCCTGGCTGATAATTGTACAGCCCCTCCAGTGAGAAAATTCAGTGAATGGTAACACCTAGGAAGGAGGCCTATAGAATTTTCACTCTGTAGATGATGACAAGGAAAACCACTTAAAATTCATCTTTTTGAAGATAACAGGAAAGACAAAGCATCCTGGAAAATTTATTGCCAGAGTCTATAAAACTAGGTTTAGAAGAAAGAGGTTTAATAGCAGACTTTCCAGCACCCCTGATGTACAGGAAGAAAGACATCAAAAGAAAGACCCGGATCATTTCAAGTAGTCACCTCTTTCATTTGATGGCTACATATCCTAGCATAGCCAATTTGAAAATCAAATCATGGCAAATTCCCCAGTGGTGCTATTTGGTGTTTATTACACAATGCAGTATTAGTGAAGTTTTAAAAAGCAAATGCTCTAGAATGAATTTAATGCTTCTTGATTTGAGGTTACCAGACTGAATGTTGTCTAGGGTTATTTCCACACTATTCTACAGTGAATCAGAGAGTAAGCTTCCACATCTTTAAAGAGAATGACTCAAATAAGGCATCCAAAGATACACCTCAAGAAAAGAGAATTAGCTTTTGCTTTAGCAGGCATGAGAATTTCTCAGTTCCAGTTAGTTTATAAATGCATCATGGACTCGAATTCATCAATTCTTTGCTTGGTGTTCCCCTTCCTGATTTTCCGATAAGATATTGTATTATACCTTGAATAAGCATTTCTGGAGATGTCATTCTTCTTCCCTAAGGTCGGATGCTCATCTGGTGTCACGGGTTGGGAACTGGGGCTGCTTAGAGGGGAGTCCTCACTGGCATTACCTTCCTTCCTTGATTGAGAGCCTTCTTCATTTTTTTTCTTGAATTCTATCACTCGAACTTCATCTTCATCATCATTGCAATCATCATCATCATCGTTATTAATTTCTTCATCCCAACCCTCTTGCTCCTCGTCATGTTTAGAATGCAACATGTCAACTTGTCTAGGTTTCTGAAATCCCAACCATTCAATTTCAGTTGCCTGGTAGGCTTTGTTCTTCCTATCCCCATCTTCTCCTTCTTCTAGAGGTTTTTCACAAATCCTTTCTCTCTGTCTACTTATTTCTTTGTTATTGCTGCTCAGAGGAATCTTCTCCCATTGATGCCCTATAGCAAAATCAATTGGTAGTGAGATGCACAGAGGTTCCAAAATATCCACCTATTATCCTCCAAACTATTTTTCTAGACAAGCATTTCCCAACATGTGTTTTGTGGGATATTATTCTGTGGGTTACTAATATTTTTTTTACACAGTAAAAAGAGCTTTATAATCAAATTAGTTTGGGAAACACTGTAGTAAATACAGTTAAATAAGCTTATCTGGAATTTATCCAGGCCTTTAAAATGCTAATGAATATTGTAACTCTCCAAGAAAGCAGCTAAACCAACCTCATTTCATTACAGAACTTTTTTTTTTTTTTTGTGGACTATTATATCTAGTGGGACTGGTGTTCCCTGAGACACACTTCAGAAAATCTGTCTAGCCTGGCACAACTCGATATATGAAATTGTAAAATGAAATATTTGGATCTATCTCTTACACACACACACACACACACACACACACACACACACACACACAGACACACACACGCACACACATACCCTCCTCAAGTAAAATTTGAAAAGTGCTTCAGTGGGAAAAAGGCTTTGTTTACAATAGTAAAACCTATGACTGTCCATGTCTGGTCACGCTCAGAGTAGCACATTCAGCATTTGCCCCTGTGCTTCTCAGAGTTAGCCTAAAGTACCTAGGTGTGCAGAAGGAGCAGAGGGCCACAGACATTTGGGAGTTATACACTGGGCTAACCTAGGCACCAAGCCCACCAAAGCACACATATGGTCTACGTTTCACCACTGATTGCAAGAGAGTGAAGATTTAAAATTCACACTGAGGTCATATCTCCATATTGATAGATTAGTCCGTTGCTTAAGACATATCCCTAAAGGCAGCTAGTTGACTTAAGTTGACTTCTAAAAAGCTTAATTTATCGTCATTTTCACTTTTCAAACAGATCATGTCGGTATACTCTCAACAATATGTATTAGCATGCTAAAAAGAAATAATTATAAGGGAGGAGAGGTTGTTCTCTGGGCTTTTAGTCCTAAAGAATTTTTGTGGTAAACTTCGGTCTGTAGAGCACATGACTCAAAAATATTCTCTGGGTGATAGCCCTCATTAGGCCTGGGTTCACCATTCCCTTTCTACATCATACCCGTTGCTGGTGAGGCGATTCTGACTCATAGCGACCCCATAGGACAGAGTAGAACTGCCCCATAGCGTTTCCAAGGAGTGGCTGGTGGATTCAAACTGTCGACCTTTTGGTTAATAGCTATAGCGCTCATAGCTCTTAACCACTGCACCGCCAGGGCTCCTTTTAGAGCCTATAAATAAAGTGAGAGGCAATGTTCCTCTTTGCCCTTCTCCTTGCAATTTTCTACTTTCACTGGAAGATGTTCACAAATCCATTTTCATCCTAGGTTTTTTGCTGTCTTTTAATTTTTCATTTCCCCAACTCTAGGAATTATATTGTAAACTTGCAGAGAAAGACATACATACATATCTTTCTACTTATTCTAACTACTTATTCATAACTCTTACCAGGTAGTTAGTGCCCAGTCAATGTTCTTTACATTGTAAACAAGTACACATTTCAATGTTTGTTATAATCTTAAAATTTCTGTTGTTTTGTTTTTTCCATAAGAACCAAAGAAACTGATCTTTTCACTCATCTTCATGACTCAGGCATGGGGTTATCATGCATGAATTTACTACTTCAGATAAAATTATAATTTTTCCTCAATATTTTTAGCATCATCATTTTTTATAGCTGTTTGCATTGGGAAAATAAAAGACACCAAAATCTGTGCCTCTATCATCCAGGAAAAACATATGCTTCATCTAACAAGAAGAGATTAATTCAGGAAAAAATTGGTGAGACTTACTCTAAAAATCCAGACTGCTTTCACTCTCTATTTGATCTAAGTGTAATATTCTAGAAAACTGTTGTATATAGTGGATTTCCTGACCAGAAATTTGAAAGAGGAACCACATGAAATGTTGAGGTCCCTGCCTCTGAGAGCTTGACACACTGAAAAGCATACGGATTAGGGAAAAATGGTTCCTTAGTTCATTTAAAACCAAACACCAAACCTGTTGCTGTTGAATCGATTCCAGCTCATAGTGACCCTATAGGACGGAGTAGAACTGCCCCATAGGGATTCCAAAGAGCAGCTGATGAATTTGAACCGCCGACCTTTTTTGGCTAGCAGCCATAGCTCTTAACCACTGCATCACCAGGGCTCCTTATTTCATATAGTGGAGGCTAAATCTTATAAATGGAGCCCTGGTGGTGCAATGGTTAAATACTCAGCTGCTAATGGAAAGGCTGGCAATTCGCACCCACCAGCAGCTCCACAGGAGAAAAGATCTGGCAACCTGCTCCCAAAAAGATTATAGCCTAGAAACCCTATGGAGTTCTACTCTGTCCTACAGGATTGCTGTGAGTGGGAATCAACTTGATGGCACACAAGAAGTCTTATAAATTGCCTCTGAAAATGTAAACAATTTACAATGACTGTTGCTCACTATATTCTTCCTTAAGGGTCTATCCAGTGGACCACTGAATATGGTCAACAGACACAGTACAAGAGGTGTCCATGCAAAGGGACAAATACAGGAAATTGCCAATCACATCCTCCTTGGCATATACTATTTCGTGTGATGTTCTAATATTTTGACCCATAACCTCTTCAATATTTTGTCTGTAAAGTCCTAGATGTTAATCAAACTAAATTGGATAGATCCTAACAAGCTGGCTTCAATTTTGAGATAAGATGTTTATGGCTACAAGATAAGAAATGAATGATTAATTAATAGATTTTATCCTGCACTTTATTTAGAAACTGCTTGAATGTAGACATCTTTGTAGAACAGATGTCTAAAGAATTCATGGCTCTTAGTCTATTAAGTTTATTTAAAATCTAATGTACTCGCTTAAAAAATCCATGTTCTTTTTATTCTCCCATTTCTGAAAGGACACAACTAAAATTAACTTTATCTCCCTGGGAGCTTTTGAGCTTACATCAGAGATCTAGCATTTTCTTATGGATTAATCAATTTTTAAGATTATTTTAAATTATATGACAATGGTAGATTTTTTTTTTTATAAACCCATTTTTAAAACATTTATATTTCACAAGGTGCCTGACACAGATTGGAGACATGAAATCAAAAAGAAATGTTGGCTTAGTGGACTAACTTAATCAGAGACAGACCTTTGGGTCAAAGCGTGACAATCAGCTGTACCAGTCCACACAGTCTCAGTCTTGAACCATCTGGAATGCTTTCTAAGGTGGAACCCACAGATAAGTCAAGACTCTTTCATCTGCCTACAGCAGCTTGGATATTTTTGAAGAGATTGCCTAGATTGCTTTTGTAACCCCACAGTCACGCAACATCTCATGCAAAAACTGTCATTCATATTCACTCAAACAAAGTCTGTGTGCAAAATGGTAGTTCCTGTTACCTTCTCTGAATGCCATTTCGTCAGCACTTGTTTCTTGGAGGGAAAGATCTGTGATAGCCTTATGAACAATAAAGAGGTTCTCTTCTGGTTTTTCTGCAGGGGAGAAACCACAACATTAATTTAAAACATTTAAATAGTTCAAGGGAAATCAAATTATCAATTTAGACTCTAGGTAGACTTTTTAATTTTAATTATGATTTTAAAATTACTAAATTTTAAAAATTTACCAAATTACTAAAAATTACTTTGACTCATTTCTTCCTTGGTTCCATTTATTTATAGACATAACAATAATCTCTCCTTTTATATCTATATAAAATATGGAACCATTAATTCAGAAACCTCAGATATATTTAGAATTAGCAACTGAAAGTCTGAATTCTCCTTGTTCAAATAATAATGGGACTGTTCATAATAATAACAAAGTTCTATCATTGTTAACAACAGTGAACATTTAACCAACAGTTACTATATGCAGATAACTTATATGAATTATCTTAAGTAATTTTCACAACAACCCTACAAATGCAGGTACTGCTATTCCGCCTTCTCCTAACAAGAAAACTGAGGCTTTATGAGGCTAGAAAGTTGTCTAGTGTCATAGAGCTATGAAATAGATAATTCTAGATTTGAGCCAAGGCAGAGGTTTAGGCCTTATGCTATGCAGCCTCAGCAAAATAAGGGGCTACATTTTTTTTTTTGGTGTCCAGGTCATTCCTGTTATCACAGTTTATGAAAACAATCCTGAGTGAGTTTACAAATCAAAACAAGCAAATTGAGGAGCACAGAGATACTTTACCTTTTAGGAACTTCTTATCCATGGACCAGGTGAGTAGCATGTTCCTTTGTGATTTTTCACTTTCCTCCTGATTTTCTTCCATGGGTACATGTTCCAGAGTAGGGTCTACCCTGTAGTATGGCTGGGTGCCATGAGCATTAGTTGTTTCATCCGTGATTTTAGTGATTGGTTGTTGCCCATTTTCAGGTGGGGTATCTCCATTACGCTCAGCCCCCTTGAATGTCACTGGAACGTCTGTCATGATGTACAGTTGAGTCTGATTTAGAAAGAGCTTTGGGAAATTGAGTGAGCAGATCCTTGATAAGATAATTCTCTTCCCTTCAAATCCTATAACTTGAAATCCTACTCTAAGAATTAAAAAAAAAAAAAAAATCACTTTAATACATAATAACAAGCTTCTTTTCCTGAAGGTGGACAAAGTTTAGAGTAAAAGCAATAGGATCTGTGAGATTTGCCACCAGCCGGTGAGCACGAATCCAGCCAATCATCATCTTCCTTGTTGCTTAGCCGTCCCACTTGTAGAATTAATGGCACTCTCTTGATTTACATAAACAAACAATCTGAGGCAATCAGGCTTTTGTGTTGGCTTGTAGAAGGGGACTTTCAGCTTGTCAGTCCCCCTCTGGGAACAGAGATTTTTGTCCCTTTTCATAATGGCCCTTTGTCATTTTCCTTGTAACAGGAGCCACAATTGTTCCACAGCTTTAATCCAGAGAGAATGACCACCTTGAGGCATATTAGTTCTGCATAACCAGCTTAACATTTCCAAACAGATTTTGTTTAAGTAAAACCTCAGCTATTTGTAAGGGACAATGGCCTTGTTTCTTATTTATTAAGGTATAAAAACAGCTTATCAAAGCATGTAAACCGGACAATTTTATTGTGAGTGGTTCTGGCAGCAGATTTTGTGGGATGCTTGTATGAGCCCAGAGACAGGACCTCGGAAAAAATCAAATAAACAAGCGACGTTCTACCAAATTGGCAGTGCCAACATTTTTAAGTTTAGGGTAATTTATTTGGCCTATAGCGTCTTATCCTCAAATCTATGCTCAAATCTATTTATGTCTACAGAAGCCCATCGCACGCATCCTTTAAAACTCTACTATGATCTCCTCCGTGAAGTTTTCTCTGTCCCCAGTCAGAATAATCTCTACATTCTCTATTGGTACTGTGTGATGCCTGTAAAATTATAGAGTACCAACACAGTATGCCCTTGGGGGAAAGGGTGATTCTGTAAAATATCTGTTATCCTGCTACTCCTCCTTCTTCAAAAGGAAAAGATTCTGGAACCTTTACCCATGCTGCTCCCTCTGCTTGGAATACCCTTTTTCTCCTCAAAGCCAAGCCTCTGGTCTAACCAGCTCCTTCAAGTTCTTAGCTCTTAGGCTTAAATATAATTTCTTTAATGACACTTTCCCGACACACAGGATTAGGACAGGACTCCTATTACACCTTATCTTTGTCCTTCAGAGTACTTTTCAAATTGTAATTAATGAGTAATTGTACAACTGTCTGTGTAATATCTCTTTGGCTCATCAAAATGTGAGCTTCATCTGGCCTGGAATCATGTTTAGCTTGCATATTACTGCATCTTCAGCACATAACATCTGCTTTGAACTAGGTAGGTGCTCAATTTTAAAAAATTATTGTTGAAATAAATGAATAAATTTTACCTCTGAGAGAATAAATTTCAGATCCTTTCTAAAGGAAAGAAGAATAGAGGTTGGAGAATAATTGTAGATTATTGTATCATTGTAAATAACTGTAATTGTATCAACTTTAGAGTTGTGTCTATGGCTGAACCCATTACCAGGGATGACAATACATGGCCCCTTTGGTGTCATCACCTTCTCCCATGTACATGGAAGTCATCTCTAGTAGATACTAGAACTCTTTCCTTTGTCATCAATAGCTGTTTCCTACTTAGCACTCTAACCTTTTGTTTGTTCGCTTGTTTTTTGTTTTTTTCTTTATCAAACACTTGCCTAACAGTTATATTCTAGGCACTGTTCTAATTGCTTGAAAAGTAATAACTAATTTAATCTTCCTAACAATCTGTGAGGTAGGTGCTATTATTATCCCCATTTTACAGACTAGAATAGTGAAGCACAGAGAGATTAAGGAACTTGCCCAAGATCACACAGCTAGTAAGCCTACTGATGAGAGTTTGCAGCATAGATAAAGCCTAGTGCCATCCCTATCCTGTGCTGATGTTTCCGTGGGCCAGAGATCCACTTAGGCTCCAGCCTAAAGAGTTAACCACCTTGGCAGCAGATGTAATTGTAGCCCAGAGAGGGCAGCAAAGGGTACTATCAAGCAAGACTGATTGCTAAGGCCTTCTTAAGAGAGACAAGGAGCCCTGGAGGTGAAGTGGTGAAAGCGCTTGACTGCTAACCAAAATGTCAGTGGTTCGAACCTATGAGCCTACCAGCCACTCTATGGGAGAAAGTTGTGGCAGTCTGCTTCCATAAATTTACACCCTCCGGAAACCCTATGGAGCAGTTCTACTCTGTCTTATAGGCTCACTATGAATCAGATGATTAACTTGATAGTAATGGGTTTTTTCCCAAGACAGACAGCCCAGCTGCTGAGGAGTGTTGGGAGGATCAGCTGCTGAGGAGTATTGGGAGGATCATCAGAGGCCTGAATTTCCTTCCACCTCAGGAGACAGCTGATGGCAGAGTTATTCACTTAATTCAAAGGTCAGAATCTGGAGCTTCAGGGCCAGGTTGGCCCCACTTACTAACTTGGAGCTAGAACAACCTAGGATCTAGGACAACAAGAAAACATTGAGTGGAATCAGATGGGGGAGAATATAGAAACAGAGTTTAGGAACATGGGAACACACTAGATTGTGAGTTCCTTAAGGGCACGAAGAGTCTAATTCAACCAAATGCCTAGCAGTTAGCATAGCGCCTGGTTCATAGAAAGACTCACAATAGCTTTAAAGAACCTCATCTCCAATCACTCACAATGAAGTCGGGAGCAGCCATCAGAGACATGGGAGAGTTTAGAGAGGTTAAGCCCATTGTCTCTCCTACTCCTGGATTTCTATGATCGTTTCTGTTCTATAGGGTAGCTATGAGTCGGAATGGATTTGACGGCAACTGGTTTGATTTTTTTTTTTTTTAATAGCAATTGCAACTTACAGCCTAGCTTTTATGGAAACTTAATGTATTTTGGATTATTTTCTTTCTAATGTCATGCTTTGAGTTTTTTTTTTTTTTACTCTGGCATTAGAATTATTTTAGATTTAGAAAGACAGAAACATGATCCAGAGTTCAGTCAGCCTCAGCTAACTAGTGTATTCACCTCTATAAAAAGTAGTGTTTTTATGCTGTCCTATAGAACAATGAAGATCAGGTAAATGGTTTATAACATGTATATTTTTCCTACAAGCAGGTGCAACAAGAGACACATGTAGCACCAAGATGAGTCCATTCAACTACCAAATAAAAAACACAGCTTATTTTGCAAATAAAAAGTAAATTGTCACCCATTGTTTGTAACAACCTCTGACTTAGAAATCACATTCATTCTTAATTCAAACACTGCATAATCGATTCCGCTGCATGAAACACAACTTTTTTTTTGTTTTTAAAGATAATTTAGAGCAGTTTTGGGCTTTTTCTCTAGTTATCATTCTTAATGGTGAAAAAAGTCTTGTAAATGTAATCATTATCAAACCTATAACAAAACATGATAATGAAAGGATCTTCTCATAGGAGTGGAAGACTTAAAAGAAAATTATGTAAACATTTATATTCCGTTTGTCAAAGCTATATGCTTAATGTTAAGGCGTTATTAGGTTCAGAAACAAGACTACATAGAGAAAAAGTTATAAAATCCTGACCTTTAATAGCATGTGAAAAGCCACGCCACAAGTTAATGTTATAGCTAACAGATGGCCAATGAGCACTGAATTAAAACAAGTAATAAATTTGAACAGTTTCTGATCTTGGCAGGTTGGAGCCAGTTTTTATACAAATGAAGGTTTACATAGTAAAGGGGACAGGTGTATTGCATCAATCAGGGTTCACAGTAAAGGGGACAGGCGTATTATATCAGTCAGGGTTCAAACCATAGAAAGGTAGAACCACTAAGATCTCTCTCTCTCTCTTTCTCTGGGTTTTACCTTGTGCAACATGGGTGCTGGTTATGCTGTCTCCGTAAGACTGTTGTCGCATCTGATTGCTGGAGTTTGATGTCCACAGGACACGCAATTGGGAAGGGAAGATGAATATAAAGGGGAAGAGAAAGGACAAGCTGAAGCCCCAAGTACAAGCTGGAACATGCAAGGACAAACTAAAACCTGTATCATTTCTCTCTGCCTCTGACATTAGTGGTATGGACGTCCTGCAGAAGCAGCTGGCACCATTCATTACTAAGCTGAACATGAACATTCACCTGGCCCAGCAATCAGAGAAACTGAAGGGGAGTCCAGGAGACGTGTAGGCTTAGCTACTACCCCCAAGGCAACAGAGAGAGCCAGCAGATCACAAACTGTGTCTGAGCTACAAAATAGTTGCTACTTCCCTCCTACTCTGCAACTTTCACACAATAATGTCTCCTCTGGCCCACCATAACTGGAAACCTACAGGAAAGGGAATTATGGGAAATTTGGTTCAGCCTAGTCAGGTTGACACATGACAAAGTCACCACAGGAATGGACTTTCAACATCTCTCTGATCCAGCATGGTGCCATATGTAAAACTTTCAGCTCAAGATTCTACTAATAACTCATAGAATCTTCTCTGGAGAATAAATAAATGCCACAGGGAAATGTGCAACACTGAAAGACCCTGAGGAGTCAGAATCATCTGAATTGGTTCATTGAAGAGATTAAAACTCCAAACTGAGGGGACAACTAAGTGAACTGCTACAGAAACATGGAATATCATAACATAATAAAAATCAGTCAGTATCCACAGATATCCCTTCCAAAAACAATAATTGCCTGCTCAAAAAAACAAAACACCGCCATCGAGTCGATTCCAACTCATAGTGACCCTATAGGACAGTGTAGAACTGCCGCATAGGGTTTCCAAGGCTGTAAATCTTTATGGAAGCAGACGGCCACATCTTTCTCCTGTGCAGCGGCTGGTGGGTTGGAACAGCTGACTTTTTGGTTAGCAGCTGAGCACTTTAACCACTGCCCCACATTAATTATCTTGTGCCATGTTGTACCTTGCCATTATATTTATGCCTCATGTGGAACAACAGCTATAGTTCTAGAAACGTAAAATCCTGAGGTTAAAAAATGGTGTCTTCCAATAAACTACTGG